GGCTTTCCAAGAAGTCAAGGCCGCAGGCTGCTCTGCTTTGGGGGTGCAACCAGAGAGATGCAGGGGCAGCGAATGCTCCTTCTCCCAAGGCTCCCTTAAGCTTCAAGGCCCAAAAGGCCACCAGCCCTTTTTGAGGACCTTGGCCAAGGACCCCCAGCCTGGAGGAGGAACCAGGCGAAGCAGGGGCAAGGCAAGGCTGGCCCTCTGTGCATCCTGCTCGGCCCAGAGCATCCTCCGAAGAAACAGGCAGCAGGAACCTGCCCTCTCCTCTGTCCTCCTGCCCGTCCCGGTAGCCGGCAGGGAGCCCGGTCAGGGGGTACTGGCCTCGAGGGTCCCCAGCAAGAGCCCCAGCTCCCCTCTAAGAGAGCTCCAGGCGCAGCCAGGGACCACGAACAGACACTCGCAGGGCCCAGGACCCTGGGACGATCCTAACGGCAGCTCCACAGCAAACGCCCTGGCCCGGCCCTGGGGCAGCAGGAGAGGGAAGGGGCTCTCCGCCTCCCACAGGGGAAGAGCAGCCCCCACCTGGCACCGGCACCGCGGCCGGCTGCGGCACAAGGCCGGCTAGAAGTGCTTGTCCTCCAGCAGCGAGCTCACCACCAGCTCCTTGTTGCCGAAGTCCCAGAAGGCAGTCATGTGGAAGGCCATGTTGGAGAGGACAACCAGGTACTCCAGGAAGGCGAAGATGGTGTACACTGGCGGAGGAAGCAGAGCAGGTGAAGGGAACACGCAGCCAGATCTGCCCCGGGAGCCGGGGGATCTCCTGGGGCACCTCCCCGGGGCAGCAGGGCACGGGGCGGGGGGCTCGTCCCCTGCTTGGACCCAGGAGGGAGGAGGAGTGCGACTGGGCACTGTCCCTCCCTGGGGAGCTCTCCTGGCCTCCGGCCGGGATTTGGCAGGCAAGGCGTCACCCCGGCCCCTTCCCTGCGTGCATCCCCCTAGGCACCGCCAAGCCGCAGGGGGACCGCAGCCCTGCCCGGCCCCCTTACCTCCGGGGCCGCAGTACCAGTTGTGGTGGAAGTAGACGCACACGGCAAACGCAAATGTGATGAAGGTGAAGAAGAAGAGCAGCTGCTTCCACTTGTACGACTTGCGCTCCTGGAAGAGGCCAAGAGCTGGGTCACAGCCCCGGCCGGTCCCCGGTGCCTGCCCCGTCCCTCTCGTCTGGCACGGCGGGGATCCGCCGAGACCACAAGCGGCTCAGCCCTCGCCCCTGTGGACGCCGGAGGTGCCGGAGCAGCCACCCCCGTCCCCAGGGAAGCTCTGCCCTGGCCCCACCACAGCCCCGGGGGCAGAAGCAGGCACCGGGAACCCCTCTGCACCCCGGCTCCTTGTGCACAGCCGCCTGGGTAAGGACCACAGGCCGCACCAGCTGCTTTGGCAGGGCTGTGACCTGGGGACACGCGGGGGGATCGTTCCTACGCAGAGATAAACCTAGCTGCTGCCCGGGCTGCCCGCTCCCCGCTGCCGCAGCTGAGTGAGGGGCGATGGGAGCCATGGGGGCCTCCGGCAGCGTCTGACACCAACAAGCCACGCGGCTCCCGGCGAATGTGGGCGACCCCGGAGGCAGGAGCACCCGGCCGCCCGCGGTGGTGCTGAGATGCACATGGCACACGAGGCCCTCGCAGCTCCCCGAAGATGGGCCAACGGCTCTACCAGACGGTAGATCCTAGGGCCGTGGCCCCGGTGGGTGCAGAGGGCCCCGGGCC